TCTCTAGAAATTGCTTTAGACTTCTCAGGAGGCTTTTGCCCTCCTCAGGAGTACAAGCATGAGGGAAGACTTGAGTTCAATCCTCAGAACCTAGCCAAAAATAAAAAAAGCCAGGCTTAGTGGTATGCACCTTATAATTCCTGCACTGGGAAGGCAGACAAAGATGACTCCCTGGGCTCACTAGCCAGCCAGCCTCACCTACTTGGTGAGTCCCAGCCAGTGAGAGAACCTCTCTCAAAAAACCCAGAGTGGACATCTGAAGAACAACACATAAGGTTGTCTTATGGGTTCCACACATATTTGCATACACACACACACACACACACACACACACACACACACACACACACACACACACACACAGAATCTCGCCATCTCTACCACGTCCATTAACTTGACAGGCAGGCAGCAGTTGAAATCGGGATATGGAGGGAACAAAGCCATGCCCATGTAAGCCTTTCCTCTGACCAGGCTGGGGGTAGGAGAGGCCTGAGCAGGATGTGGGTCACTAGACACACTTTCCCCTCCCACTCAGAGAGGGTATGCTTATTGTCCTGTGGGAAAATGAAACATTTGCCAAAGCTCTGTCAGGGTGTAGCATCCCAACTCTCCCAGGATCCAACAAGAGCAACAGGCAAAGTGGCTTTATACTGGGGAAGCCACTGGTTCGGCAGTCACAGCAAGGACATGCTACCATCATTCATTGCCTCCAGTCAGAAGGCCGACATCAACAGGGGACGCTCTTTTGAACAAAGAAACTACCGAGGCATCCAAACGTCCACTGCTTGTGTGGCTTTGGTGAAATGATGAGAGCCACCCACCCATGGCCTCGGAATCCCGGCTAGTATCTTGGAGTTAGCTTTCAAACTAGGTGTGTTTGTGTGGAAAACAAACAGACTCACTGTTATATCACCTAGGAAAGTGAAGCCTGGAATGTAGCCAGTGCAGGCATGCTAAATCATGTAGCTGCAGGATGTGTTTTAACCAGAGGACATAGCCTTTCAGAACAGAGGAGGCATGGTTAAGTAGGCCAGACTCCTCTACAAAGAAGAGTTTCCCACTACTGAATAATAGCTTGTCTTTTCCAGTTCCCTATTGCCCCTCTCCCAACCCCCCATCAAACAGAAGCACAGTGGTCAAGCCTGTCCACTAGCCTTCAAAGAGGCCTGGTGGGAGGCTCAATACAAAAGCCCCTTACAAAGATGTCAGGCCCTGTGTGCATCAGCTGAGGCACTCAGGTGAAATTACATGCCTCCGGGTGTTCCCCCCTCACATCTGAGTGTAAAAACAGACCAAAGCCTTACATAGACTGTGAAATTTCTAGACAGGCATATAGTGTTACTGTTTGGAACTTTCCATGAACCTCTTCGGGTTACCATACATATTAATATGAACACCACATTTAAAGAAAGGAAAATATGCTGTGCCTGGTCATTGCTGTTAATTGAATTCATCTGGGAATTTTAAATTAAAAAAAAAACGTAGCCCCATTAATGGCACTTGAAGGTTTGAGCGGGTTGTGGCATTTGCTTTTTGGGATGGGAAATCTCTTTTAAAGACAGTTTCTGCAGTTTCTGTATCATGAAGTGTTAAGTTAGAGTCACCTGTAAAAATCGTTAGGTTACAGAACTAGTGAATGGGACAGTGTGACGCTGCACAAGGCTGTGCTCCTCCAGAGGCAATCTGCCACTCACAGCTTCCTGCTCAGGAAAAGAAACTTCACATTCCTACAAAGACAGCCCTCGAGGGCTGGAGAGATGGCTCAGTGGTTAAGACCACACGTTGTCCTTGCAGAAGACTCAGAAGACTGGGGTTTGTTTCCAAGCAGCTGCACAGTGACTCACAACTATAATCCCAGTTAGAAGGGATTCGACACTCTCTTCCAGTGGACAACACTCATGCGTGTGGTGTATTTACACGCATGCAGGCAAAACTAAATCAAATTAAAAGTAAAGATCCTGGTTGAGAGCCAGGTATGATGCATACCTTTAATGCTAGCACGTGGAGGCAGAGGCAGGAGAGTAGCTTCAAGTTCAAAGCTAGGCTAACCAGGGCTACATAGTGAAACCTTGCCTCAAATAAATAAAAATAAATAAATAAATAAATAAATAACTGACTGACCCACAGGAGGTCTCAGTAGTTAAAGGTGCTTACCACCAATGCCTAATGACCTGAGTTCAATCCCACAACTTACATAATGGAAAGAGAGAACTGATTTGCACATTGTTTTCTGACTTCCATGCACAGGGGCACACACACACACACACACACACACACACACACACACACACACACACACACACTAAACCAATAAATAAATGTAATCATGTCACCAGAAACTGACTTAATGTTTACCATGGTGAGTCAAGGTTGGATGGGTTTGGATGGGTAGTTAAATGAAAAGTGTTCTGGGCATTGCAAACTAGATGGCACTTCCTTGACACTTGATGTAACACTGTAACACTAGCCAGGCTCTACAGTGAAGTAGACACAATGCCTCTGTCACATTCTGTCCTTTCGAGGGAGCTTGTAAAGCCCCCAGTCTGTGTTCTAAAGCACTATGAGACTAATGGGGGCAGAAAGAGGAGCCAGGCTCTGGCCAGTGGAACATCCAACCTCAGATCTTCCTTCTGCCTTCTCCCAGAGAAACTCGGTTCCCTCACCTCCAAGGGCCTAAGCAAAAGTCATGGAAAAATGTAATGAAACCCCACCCTCTGGCTTGTCTGTGTTGTCTGTGTGGCTCCCCTCCAGCACCCTACCTCCCGGAAGCTATCTACCATACAAAGGGGTTCAGATTATGCAGCAGACAAGTGCCATGTTTATGTCCCCTGTCACCCAATGAACAAGTGCCATGTGGGCTTTTCAACCAAGGACCCAAGCTGGGCTATGCACAGACACACGAGGCCAGGCATACCCAAGAAAGCTGACACAAGTCACAAGGACCCAGCACAAGTACACAGGCAGCTGTCCTCCGCCCTAGGGACACCTTAGCATCTTTGAGGTCTGTGTTCTTATTCACCCACAGCTCTTAGAACCACTATTCCCCTCAACAGTACTCAAACCTGCTACAGGACCCTCGTTAAGGGCTGGACAGGATCAGAGGTGTGCAAGGCTGTATTTTGATTAGAGATGCTCTATGTAACATGTGTGCATGGGTCTCTATAGTCTGAGCATCATTCTGGGGTGGGGGGGCTAGAGTCAAGAGGATCAGTGAGAACTAAAGCCTTTCTGATTGACAGCCCTGTGAATTCCGTTGTCCTGCCCTTTCTACTCTAATGGCTTCCTCCCAGGCTCTGTCTCATACCAGCCTCAAGCACAGGCTTCACTCAGGAATTCTCTAAAGTTTTCCTTCCAGGAAGGCTGCCCATGATGTGTCAAGGCTGCCTGGTTTAAGTGCTCTCTCTCTCTCTCTCTCTCTCTGTCTCTCTCTCTGTCTCTCTCTGTCTCTCTCTGTCTCTCTTCTCTCTCTCTCTCTGTGTCTGTCTGTCTGTCTGTCTCTCTCTGTGTCTGTCTGTCTCTCTCTCTTCTCTCTCTCTCTCTCTCTCTCTCTCTCTCTCTCTCTCTCTCACTCTCTCCTTCCCTCCCTCCCTCTCTTCCTCTCTTCCTCTCTCTACTTTACAAGCTGGTCCCGGGCCCAAGACATGGTTCAGGCAGTATACCACTTGCCCTGTAAGCATAAGGACCTGGATTCTAAATGCTTGGTGTGATGGCCACACTTATAATCCCAGCACCAGGAAGCCATGTAGAAATGGGAGGCTTGCTGAGGTCAGCCAGTCTAGCCTAATTCATGAGCTCTAGGCCAGTGGGAGACCCTGCCTCACATTAGGTAGACAGTGTTCATGAGGATGACTGACACCCAAGGTTGTCCTTTGGCTTCTATATACATATATACATGCATGTACTAAAAACAAAGGGAAGCTGGCCTCCCTCCCTTCCAGGCCTTGTTAGGCCCACATTTGTCTCACAGATCCATCTCTCTGTCCTTTCAGAACCAAGAAAGGATACGAAGCACGAGCTGAGCTGATAATTAGGAAACTGAGGTGCCCCAATTCATAGAGTGGCGATAAGCTCATACTTTTGGCTCTGTAGCCAGGGCCCCTCCAGTTTACAGCAGAACCCATTCCGTATTCCACCAGTCTCCCTTGAAAGGTGGTAGCCACTGTCACACAGCCAACCAGCCCCCAAGCCTGTGGTAAATTTCTACCAACCCCCCATATTTGAGCACTACGCCAAAACAAGCAGAAAAGAAACAAAAAGAAAGTTCTGGCTGCCAACTAAAACACCATCATCTTCCTGGTAACCCACCAGTTCAACAGTGAGGTCAAGAGTGGGCACGAATCCTGGATGCCTTTGCCAGGGTTGTGGGAGGCATCTGGATGGAGTCTGTCCTGCTGTCCCCACAAGGAAGTGCACTGTCTCAGGTAACCACATCCATGTGCAGGGAATTCTTCTCTGGGCCCAAGGTTTGATCAGTAAGTCCCATTGGGTTCTCCCTGATTTGAGTATACATCATATCCTTGCCAACTTTAGGACTTCATAATCCTACAAAATCCCACACACCTTTGGGCTAAGCCACAGGCAAACTGTGGCACCAGTTATGGGGACCAGAGCCTGACACCAGGAATGACAGGCAGCCTTCTTCACCTTCAGGCTGCTGGCTCACGAACCACCTGGCTGGAGCTGGGTTATAAAAGGCATGGGCCATCCCATGGGCTCCGGGCATTTTATCCACTGGGACATAGGATCTGCCACCAAAGAACCTTATATATACCTCACACTTGTTCCCCTTTGAATTTGAGTCACAAATCACAGTTGGATTCAATGGCCCTTGTTTCTGACCCAGGTATCTGAAGGCATGGCCTTCTCTCAGACTGCATGGCCGTGTCAGAGATGGAGGAATGGGGCACACTGGCAGTAACAAGGCTGGAGATGAGTGGCGAGTCTGCTCCCATCCCCCATGGGACACTTTGGGTCATGAAAAGAGAGAGGCAGTAACTTACGTGGCTCCTCTTGCCTTCTTCATCCCCTACAGATGTAATGACTGTCTCAGAAAAGACCATCTGTCCGGTCTGGTTGTTGGTTGTCTACAGACAAACACAGGTATAGTAAAAATGAAGCAAGGAATTGTGGAAAAAATCTAAAGCTCATGTTGGTTTTTCACTTTCTGGAGTGGGAGTCGACAGGATGCCCACTCCCCCTTCAGAGTTCTAATCATGGCACTGCCAATGAGCAGAGTCCCCGGAGACAGTCAGACTCCATATCACCAGGTCACTGGGCAGAAGGGACAAAGTGATAGTGGACAGCACAAAGCCGACTAGTAAGTACTCAACACCAGCTATTTTTATCACTCTTGGGACTCATCACTTGGCACTCAGTGTCAAGATTCCAGTCTGACCAGCGTGATGCCAGAGGTCTATAATCACAGTACTTGGGCTGTGGAGGCAGAAGGATCAGGGGTTCACGGTCATCTTTAGTTATATACTGAGTTGGGAGCCAGACTGGGCTCCATGAGACTCTGTCTCAAAAAAAAAAAAAAAAAAAGTCACCATAAGAGGCAAGAAGGTGGAGGCTCTGGCCACTCCCCCAGCTCTTGTTCCTTAGAGCTACTCATTTCAGAAGATAGCACAAAGGAAACCTGCCCCTGAGTCAGCTTGTGGGCTGCCCTGCCCTGATTCTGTCCTGAGGGCAGGTACCTCAAGCCACACCCAGCAAGGAATCAGGGCCACTCCTGTCTCCTCCAAGACTGGGCCTAAAGATGGATCTGGCCCAGGCCCAGAAGAACTGTGTTTCCTGAGCTCTGACTCTAGTCATTTCTCTTCTCTGATTCCGTGTCTTACTTTGAGCCATCTTTAAAGTCAGTGCCAGCTGTACTATCTCAAGAGTCTACCGCCAAAACCAAGAGAAGGTGGCCCACTCTGCAGACAGGGATCGGCTTCTACTTCTCAGTCAGTGAGGGCCAAGCTTCACCACCCTGCGCTGCTCAGCTCTGTTCAGCTGTGCTCTGTTTTTCCTCCCCCAAGGCCCTCAAGTCATCCAGGCAGGCCTCAAAGTCACTATATAGCCAAGGCTGGCCTTAAACTCCTGATCCTCCTGCCTCCACTTCCCAAGTGCTGGGGATTACAGACATGAGTCATCATGCCTGGTTCATGCTTTCTAATTTTTACCTAAATGTTTCCTTCCTGTGAAGAGGAATGCTGTCTTTTTTTCTTCTTCTTGATGGTAGTTTTTTGTATCAGTGTCATTTTTTTTTTTAATTCTGCAGCCCTGTTGCAACCCCTCTTGGTGCTTTTATTATGCCACCATGCATCTCTAGGAAGAGAATATATGCAATATTCCCTGGATATATTTCCCAGCTATTGCACACCTACTCTTAAAGCGTGGCACAGGCTGACACCCTCACAGAACCCCTTGAGAGCCTTCGCTAGTAGCAGCTTTCCCCTTTGTCGTTCCCTGTTGGTCACAGGGGTGCACGCCTGTAATCCCAGCACTCAGAGAAGGCAAGGCAGGTGGATCTCTGTGAGTTCAAGGCTAGCCTAGTCTACATGGTGAGAATCTATCCTTTAAAAGGGTGTGAGGGGTCCCTTTTGTTTTCTAAGTCGGGCTCTCTCTCTCTCTCTCTCTCTCTCTCTCTCTCTCTCTCTCTCTCTCTCTCTCTCTCTCTCTCTCTCTCTCTCTCTGTTGTCCTTGCTGTCCTGTACCAAGTGCTGGGAGTAAAGGTGTACTCCACCACACCCAGAAGGTTCCCCTCCTTCAAGTGGAGTAAGTCACTAGTGAGTTGCTCCTACTGGAATGGTGAAGACTCATCTCCCATAAGGTCAGCCTGACAGAGGCACACATAAAAACCCAAGAGGTGAGTTCCTCCTTCTCAGATGCAAAAAGCCTCAGCATCATACACTGCCTAAAAGGTATAGAAGCAACTTAGTGCCTGATATGCACCTCTCCCCTTGAATGGCACCCTCTCTACTGATTTTTAATCTGCTTTTTATAACTCTCACTTACATTTATGGCTTTATATCACACCTGTTAACAAGCCCCTTTCTCTCCAAAGGGACTGCCCTGTAGGAAGGACATGGCTGCATTTCAGCCCTTACCTTGTGAATCTCTTGGTGCATGTGAACGGTGTTATTCCCAACCCTGGCATCTGTGTTGGTCTCGTTGTGATAGTTGGCAGGTAAACTTAACAGGTTTGCCTCGGAGGATGTCCTAGCAGCTGCTTCTTCTGCCTCCATCTATCAAAATGAGCAAGTAAAATGATTTCTTTCAGCTGTAACTATTGGTGCACAGATTGGTGATAGTGACAGACCGCTGAGTGGCCATTAGACATGAGTTCCAAATGTTTTACATGACCTTCAAGTCTTACAGCCCCAGAAGGTAAAAATGCTGGTCCAGCAAGCCTAAAGACCTGAGTCTGATCACTAGAACCCATGTTGGATATGGTGACTCCAAACTGCAATCCCAGTACTGCTACAAGAGTGTGGGAGGCAGAGACAGGAGAATCAGCCAGGAGCCCACAGAGCAGCAGCAGAGAAACTCTGCCCCAGAAAGGTGGAAGGAAAGAACCGATTTCTGAAAATGTGTTCTTTGATCTGTCACACATCCACGATGCACATACGTTCATACACACATGTTCTCCCCTCAAATGGTACCCTTACCTCTTCTGGTTTTTAATCTGCATTCTATTGATCTTACTCACATTTGTGGCTTTGCATCACCCACGTCAATCTTTTTTTTCTCTGTATCACAGCCTCCTAGGAGATGCATGCTAATATCTCCATTTTTCAAATAGGGAAACTAAGGTTCACAGAGTCTAGTGTAGACTGGAGTTGAAATTTGAGCATGTTATCTTGCCCAGGCCCTGGTGGCCTAACCCAGAGGTCACCTGCATTAAATTCCCATACAACCAACCAGCACCTTGGTCTCTCTCTGGCCACAGAAATGTATCTATCTTTGGAATCCCTCAAGGGTTAATGTCTCCAGTGAGGGAGGGACAGGCTGGGGGAGAAGCACCCCAACTTTCCTCCTTGTAAGACAAGTCTGTTTGTGGGCTCCGTGGGATTAAACCCCAAGTGGCCAAGGCAGGATCCTTCTCAGGGTCTTGCCTTTACTGCTTTTTTTCCTTCCCACTTTGTTTTTAATTCTACAAGAATGTTCTGGGGTTTGTCCGCCAACTAAACAATTTGCTGTCAAATCCTTGTTGCAGGGTCTGGTGTATGTGGGGAGATCGAAACTCAGATAGACTGAATATTTTTGAGACAGGAGTCCCTTCCCTACCCCTTCTCTTGGTTAGCCCTGGGAGGATCTTCTAAGGGATCAATAGATCAATAGATGGCTTCCTGAACCTATATGCCCCCATAGTTCTGCAGATATTCATCAGCTCTTCTTTGGTGTTGGGGTTCTGAGGTCATGCCCTCAAATCTCTAGTCCTGTGACCTCAGTGACACCTGTGTCACAAACAGCAGTCAGCACATTTTACTCCCAGTTTTTCCTTCAGTATCTATCACATCTCCAGCTCTGGTGAGTGGGCAGGAGACAGAATGCCCATCCACAGCCACACAGACAAAAAGGCAGATCAGGTCATTGACTACAGAGCCTATCAGATGCTGTCTCTAGAAAGGAAACTGAGTAAGCGGTCAACAGACCCATCTAAAGAGCACCTCTAGCACATATGCTGGCCTGTTTTTTAACCAGAAACACAGAAGTCGTTTCTAGAGGCAGGACTTCACACATCAGTGAAGTTTTCGGATAACTAGGAAGATTCCCTTCTCCTTCACCTGACCTCAGTTAAGAACCCCTGCTCCAGGCAACTGGGAGCTATAGCGAGTTCTATACTAGTTGGGAAATAATTTAGAGACCAGGTAAGAAGAAACCAGATTCAGGGGACTGGCAGAATCAAGTCTGGAAGAAGGAGCCGTCTTGTGGCAAAGGCTTAATGTCAAGTCTAGAAGGACCAAGATGAGCAGTGAATGACACAACCAGCTGCCCCCAGCATCATCACATCATAGGGCAGCATGGGGGGGGCAGGGTTCTGGAGTCAGACAGTGAGCTCAAGCCCCAGGTTTACCCCCCAAATATCCACATAATCTTGGGCAAGACTCCAGGCTCCTCTAAACCACAGTTGACTCCAGGCTCCTCTAAACCACAGTTTGGATGTGTGTTCAGTAAGGATGCTCCCATTTTGTTCAGCAGGCACAAGGATTAAAGAACTCCCATCCTGAACATCCATATGGCATCTGTTTCAGGGTTAATAGGCAACATGAGTTACTCTCCTCATAGCATCCTGTAAGGAAGCAATTGGTGAAAAAGTCAACTTGGGAGAAGGGGGGAGGAGGGGCAGACAGCCAGTAGCCAGTGTCCGAAAAGCTCCATTATAACAAAGTGGAGAAAAAAGAAAAGAAACCAGGAATAGAGACAGGATGGATGGGCAGGAAATGACATATTTTTTTAAGAGAGGGACCTGGGTTGTTTAGCAAAGAGTAAGGTTTATCTGGGAACAGGAAAGCAAGGTACTAGAGAGGGTGTGTCCAGAAAAAGACTGTCTTAATGTTTTCTAAATTCCACTGGAATTGGAATTGTACAGTTTGGCTTTCAAATAGCTGGCATGTCCCCAGATCTCCAAGCTACTGTTGGCTGAGCAGTCTCTCTCAAACCCTGTTCCCTCTCTGCCAGTGGCTGCAACATTGCAATGAGCTAAGGACTATTTAATGAAACCATAAACTAAAAGCGCAGTTTACCACGGAATCTTCAACCACAGTGATTACTGCCCCCAGCAAGAGAAACTGAGCCTGAAGCAATAGTTGCTTCACAGCTGAAGAATGTGAATGAGGTTAAAAATGACATTCACAACCCGTCAAATGCACATCTATTAAAAGAGCACAGCAGGAAACCTGAACGAATAAATCAAGGCTTGGTATTGGGGCTCTTCCTAGGACTCAGTGAGACCATAAGATCCCTCTAGAATAAACCAGCTGCAGGCTGGGGAGATGGCACACGAGTAAAGGCACTTGCCACCAAACCAGAGTTCAATCCAGGACCCACATGGTAGAAAGACAAAGCCAGTTCCCTAAATCATTCTCTGACCTCCACATGTATGCAGGGCACAGGCACTTACATACACACACAAAACAAATTCATACATAAAATAAAGCATTCCAAATACAGCAGTTACAGATGTGCCAATGAAAGCAGGCAGGATGAAGCGACTTTATCCTTTAAACATACACTTTCTAATGACATGGAATACTAAAACAAGAAAACAGGACATTCTTAGATCCAAGCCATTGGAGGACTTGCTTTTTCTAAAGATAATCTTAGAAAAATCAGTTACTTTGTCCCTTAAGAGACATCAACAGCTTGAGGCAGCTGGAAAAAATAAAATGCCAGGAAGTTACTTGAAAGCAGATTCACGATGCAACTATGTAAACATCAACTGCCTGCGGCTGGGTTCTCCCTCATCCCCTTGGATAGCCGCTAAACAGCAAATGCCTGTGTTTATGACATTTTAGGAGTTTTCTGGGAGTTTCCTTAGAAATGCCTGGCTGGTGAGATGGCTCAGAGGGTAAAGGTGCCTGCTATGCAAGCCTGACAACCCAAGTTCAATTCCTGGAACCCCCCCACACACACATGCATATATAAAATAAAAACAAATACAAATAAAAGTTACTTTGAAAAAGCCAATAGCCACAATCTACTAAAATCATACACCACTTTAATACTGGTTTTAATACTTTGCATTTTCCTTTCCTCTTCCTCCCCACCCCACTCCAGTTCTGGGGATCAAACTCAGAGCCTCAAGCATGCTTAGGCTCTACTGCTGAGGTACAGTCCCAGGCCAAGAGATGCATCCCACTGAGAGTCATTGGTAAGCTTTGCTGTTATTCATGCTGCTAAACTGCTTGCTTTCTTTGTTCTTTTTTGGTTTTGTAACAGAGGATATCACTGTGAAGCCCAGGCTGGCTTTGATCTCACTATGTAGTCCAAGCTGGCTTTAAAACCATGATCTTCCTGCCTCAGCCTCCCAAGAACTGGGACAACTGGTATGTACCACATAGCCAGGTCACATTACCAATATTACCATGACAAAAAGCCATTATTTCCTGAGTCCCAACAACCCCCATAATCCTTACAATGACCTCATGAGGAAGATACTTGGTTTATATCTACCTGCTTTCCTTACATCAATATTTGACCAACTAATTTGCTTTCTAGAATTTTCTCTTTGACCTAGAAGTGGGCATTTTCTTCACTTCAGACCCTAAATTCCATCACTAATAAATGACAGTGAGTGCTGGGAACTGAATGAGAGAAAGTTGGTCTCTACTGTCTATGAGAGTGCTCAGCCCCCCTTATCCTGTCTCCACAGCCCACAAGGTCACTCTAGGGAAAAGACCATTGACTTGGGTTGATGCAATGCTCAATGTCTTGGATTTTACAGCCGATTTGCACAGCTCAAGCAGAGATACGTTAGGAAAGGGAGAGAGCGGAGCCATGAAAAAATCTACTGTGGCTATTTCCCATGGGTCTGATGGGGTCCCAAACTGCACTGACATCTGTAGAAGCTAAGCAGGCCTCATCAAAAGCTGATACCAAAGAAACCTATTTCAAACCTTCTGAAGTGTGGTGGGCATTTCCCAGTGAGCTGGTCTATGTTCCTGGGAATCAATGTGCAGGAAGGAAAGTCCTCCAGACCAGGTAAGGACAGCAGAACCCCTGCCTGGGGCCAGAATGGCCAGAGGCTCCATGCAATCTGCAATTACAGATTAGAGCATGCTGGGCCCTCATCCTTCAGTCACTTTTCATGCCAACTGTTTCATAAGCTCAGGAAGCCCACAGGTCACGGGACCCAGGCCTGTCTGATATGTCACTGCCTCCCAATTCAGTGTTCCCTGCAAAATCCACCCTGCTGGCTTGGGGAATGGAGGGGAAAATACACCCAAACTACACAAGGCTGAAGTGACAACAACTATCTCAGCAGACAAGGGCCATCATTTAAGATTGCCGGAGGGGGGTTACCATGATAGTTGTCTGGTTCACTGGAATGGCTGGTTCCACTCCAGCCTGTCCTCAAACGCCAAGGGCAGCTAGCGGGCAGCTAGAGGCACACTGATCAAGAAAGCCCAGAAAGTTTTCAACATGGTTGGTACCCATCTTAGGCAGCAGAACCAGGGGCCATCCAAAGTGCTGGCACCTGGAAGGCGAGAAATCAAAGTGAGCCTCTCACCTGCCAGGTGAAAGGCATTATATGTAATTCTCACGGGAAGCTGAGGTTGAGGACGCTAAATGACTGACCAAACTCACCTATTGCTGACTAGCAGAAAATTGGACACATGAGCTCCAAAACACATAGGGTGTGGGTGAAGAGGGGTTGCCTCCCACATCCTCACCCCTACTTTCTGACCATCTCTGCAGCATGGACTTAGGACTTCCTTCAGCCTTCCTTTTCCTGCCCTAAACAGACTGCCAGCAGAGCTGAAGACTTACCTTTCCCCCCCGACTGGCATCCTGACTGTATCTGGAGAAGATGGTACAGGCTTGATGCCCAAGGGACAAGTTAGAACTTGGAGCTTCCTGTAGCTGCCCCAGCCTCTGCAAAGTCACTGCGCTGGGACACCAGAGTGACTCCAATCTCAGCTCAGCTACACACTCCAAAACATCTGCAACACGGTGGCCCCAGCTCCCAGGAAGGATTCAGCTAAGACTCCCTTGGTGGACAGGATTGAATCCAGACCTTTTGGCAGGCAGGTAGAACCAGTTGGGAGTAAGGATTACCCAGCGCTACACTCAGGGCGCTCCATGTCTGCCGTCAGGCCCTTTCCTGCTCTGCACAAAGCCAGGTCTTTGGCCAGTGCTGTGACCATCGCTAGAAACATTGCCTCCGCCAGGCCCACCCCCTACTTATCCTCGTGCTTTCCGAGCCTGGAGCCCTGGGGTGCACCCACCTCCTCCACAGCGCTGCGCAGTTTGTGCTGCGTGTCTTCCATCAGCTCCTCCACCTCTCGGAACATCTCATTGAGCGTAGCTTCCTCCTGTGGGTAGCTGAGAGCCGGGCCCGGTTCCACTGGAGTCCAAGTCGGCGTCGGGGCAGGAGCCGGAGTGGTGGGGACAGCCGCCGCCAGCAGCAGACACAGCAAAATGCCCCGGAGTTGCTGCATCTTTGCTCCCCTCTGGCCGCCGCCTGTGTGCCCCGGAACGTTATCAGAAACTGCAGGACCACCCCTCTTGCCCGCCCCGCCCCACCGCTCTGCCCGCCCCCAGATGGAGAGAGACCCAGCCCCCTCCCAGCCGCAGCCCCTGCTGAGGACACTGGGGCCCCCCCGCAACCCGCTCCAGCCTGGATGCACTCTGCACCCCTCCAGTTCTAGTATCTAGGGACAGCTCTGCTTGCCACGCTGATGGAAATCCAGCTCCCGAACCAAGGAATCCAGGTCTCCTACGCTAACAGCAGACCCCACCCCACCCCTGGACCAGGGTCACCCTACCTAGGTTACGGTTTCAAGTCCCGTCCCGTCCGGTCCTTTACTAGTTCACAGTGCAACTCTATTGATAAGACTCCTCGGTCCCCGACTCAAGCCCCAGCCTCTCTCTCCCTACCCCCAGAAGAGTTCTCAGGTCAGCCTCTCTTCGCGATCCAAATGCATGAAGTCTCCACCTCTATTTAGGAGAGACCTAGCTAGGCTATCCCCACGACGGTGACCACTGAGCACTCACCTCGAATGGACAAAGCTGAGCCGCAGGCTGGATCTGGTCACACCTGGCCGCGGGGCTGCCACAGAGCAGCGGGAGAAGAGTCAGTACTGCTCGAAGCACGGATGCAGCAGAGCCGGTACCCAGTAAGCCTGCAGTCTGCTCCCCGCCCTCCTCCAACCCACCGCGCCTCTGCCCTGCGGGAGGGGCAGGCCCACAGCCAATCGCTCTCCCGGCCGCTAGCGTCTGCCTCTAAGTCCTGGGAGAACCACTCAGCAGAATCCATTCCCCGCTGCCTCCGTGATAGCCCATGCTTCTGCCATCTCTGACAGCCTTCTTGAGGATCACCTTGCTGTCTCTAAGCCATCCTCTGCCTTAGATGCAGTCAGAAAGGACGAAATCCCAGCCTTTCAGCCATCACAGGCTGGTCTAGACGGTCTCCGGCCAGGAAAATCCACTTTTGGCCCTGAGAATGGGTCAACACAAAGTCAGTAAGTCCCTAGAGGGCGACATAGCAGAGTGGCTAGGATCGACACCACTACTAGCCAAACTAGAGTGGTCTGTATAGGCTAACTTTGTATGTGCACGTCCTACTTAACATGCACGATGCATGAAGAGGGGTCGGGGTGCAGAAATAGGCTGTGTCACTATCATAATGAGATTTCAATCTTGTCTGTTGGCAGCTGTCTCCTCAGTGCCTAGAAAAGGAGGGCCTTAAAAAAAATAAATGTTTTAAAAACTTTTCTACTTTGACTATCTAATCCTGATTCTACCCCCTTGGTTTCCCTGATGACCCCCACCCCCATGCATCTCCTGACCTTTCCTCCCTTCTTCCCTGTGCTGGCTAGTTTTTTGTCATTGACACAAACTTGAGTCACCCGGGAAAAGGGAGCCCCGACTGAGAAATTGCCTGTGGGTATAATTATGGGGCATTTTCTTATCTGCTAATTGATGTAGGAGGTCCCAGTCACTGTGGGACCCTAGACAGGTGGGCATAGATGGTATTTAAAAAGTGGTTCAGCAAGCCAGAGCAGAAAAAGCCAGTAAACTGCCCTCCTTTGTCTCTGCTGCAGTTCCTGACTCCAGATTTGGACCTTTAGTCCCTGCCCTGGCATCCTGTAATGATGGAGTATAAACCCTTTCCTCCCAAAGTTTCTTTTAGTCACCATCTTTATCACAGCAATAGAAAATCAAATGAGAACATGTCTCAGTTCTCCTCTGGGATGGCTAGCCCCCTGTGCTCCCAGTTCACCAACTGGCTGGAGTCTCTTTGCCAGACTGTCCCCCATCTACCCACCAAGAACCAGGAGCTCCTTTGTTTCTACAGGGACTCGGTCCACACACTTGGTCCCTGAAAAATGAAGGGGCTGGTGGTTATATCGATAGCTGCTGGTATACCAGTACAAAGGTATGGTCAGTGAGAGTTTTCTGTTCCAAATGCAGGGATTTACTCATTGAAAATTCAGCAGCCTTCTGAGATTGGTGCTGTTGCTTTTTATTATTAAAAAGTCGAGCCAGGCGTTGGTGGCACACACCTTTAATCCCAGCACTCGGGAGGCAGAGGCAGGTGAATCTCTGTGAGTTCGAAATCAGCCTGGTCTACAAGAGCTAGTTCCAGGACAGCCTCCAAAGCCACAGAGAAACCCTGCCTTTAAAAAAAACAAAACAACAACAACAAAAGTCAGAGGGCTGTGCTTTCTCATAAGGGGGAATCTCAATTTTGTGACCATTATCCTCTACAGAACTATTTTGTAGATAAATGGTTCTGTTACTAAACAAAACTATCACATAAAGAAAAGAAATTGCACATGACTTAATTATAAGTTCTTAACTATGAGTCAGCAGACAGCCCCAGGCTGGCAGCAGAGGCACTGAGCAAGCTGAATTGATGGACACCACCCCCATCCAGACATGGTCTTGGTCCTGAAAAGTTTGGATGGAGACAAAGAAAACCCAGTGACTCTGGAGACTGGTAGAAGAGTCCCTATCTAAGTGGCTTTTGTGAAATGAGGGGCCTAGGGACTGGAGTAGAGAGGGGACAGACCTACACAGACCTGTTATATTTGGAAGAAGGAACTTTCTTCAACTCCACGATTTTGATTATATCTTTGACCACTAGATCTATATCCACTAGAGACACCAGGTGGTGGCGAGGGGTTAGTTACTGAGGTAAAAACACTATGGGCAAAGGCAGCTTAAGGAAAAGACAGTTTATTCAGGCTTAGAGTTCAGGGGTTAGTAAGGTTCATAATGGCAAAGTGGAGGCAGTAGGAATGGCAGCAGAAATAGGAAGGTGGGAATTCAAATCTTTAATTACAACCATGAAGCAGGGAGAGGAGACCGGAAAGTAGGTGAGTATACGTAATCTCAAAACCTGCCTCCAGTGACCTGCTTCCTCCAAGTCTACATCGTCTACACCATAGTGCCACCAACTGGGTTCAAGTGTTCAAGTATCCAAGCCTATGGAGAGCATCTCTCATTCAAACCACCCCTGGGGGTGTTGTTTGGTTTGTTTGTCTGTCTTCTTTCAAAGTATTGGGAGCTCTTTCTGGGGGTAATTACATAACACTCTTAAGTTCTCACTTTTTTCTCTCTGAGAAGCAACTGTGACATAAATACTTCATTCCATGGATGAAGAAGTGGCCCCCAGCTATTGTCCTTCACTAGGAACTTCCTAGAGAGTTAGATGCTGCAGGTTTGCATCTTGCTATCCACCTACTGGAAAATGTGTGCCCAAGGAGGTCTGTACAATGCTGCTCATCAAATCTCTATGTGTTGGTGAGCATGCAAAGGCCACTTGTTGGCACTTTTCAGCAAGAGAGTAGATAAAATGGGAGGGATCTGATACACAGAACAATCTGTGTGGTAGTAAAAATAATGAGTGGCATTTATAGGTATCAATATTACTAAGTCTCAGAAACATTATGAAGAGTGGAAGAGGTAGTTTGCAAAATGAAATTCACAGACTACTGTATGTGCATATTCTAAAACACAAAATGGTAGCAGATGTTATTTATGTATCCTTAAATATAGTAACAAATATAGGTATGATAGAGGCATGTATAGTCTGCTTCTAAGTGGGAGGCAGAGGGAAACACACAGCGGATTTTTGTTTCTGTTTTGTTGTTGTCTTTTTAAAATTTTTTTTCTAATATAGTGATGTATGTAATCTCAGGCTGGCCTTACTATGTGGCTAAGGTGCTTTAATTCCTAATTCTCTTGCCCCCACCTTCCAAATAAAAGGATTATAGGCAAGCACCACACTTGACTCTCTCTATCTTAGTAGATTATTGTAAATATGAATTGGAACAAAATGGGTAGAGTTGTAGGCAGAGAAAACATCTTTGGCAGCTGTTTTCATGGCTCAAATGGAAGCCATGACATATGTCTCAAGACATGCTAAATAAACACAAGCCTGTGAAGCCACAGTGCAACGAAGAACAGGTAAATAGACAAGGCAAGGGTGGGGGACAAGGAGATGCTGATCACTGAATAGTCAAAGCTAACTCTTCATAAAGTATTTGAAGGACCACTATGCCTACTCCACCTCACAGTGACAGGGGTGAGGATCAGGTTGTAATGGCACTGGTGAGCAAGGATGGACAGCTCAGCCATGCTGGGCCCATTCTTTCTGTTTCTGACTTGAGGTTGAAGAAGAGATCCATGTGAAGAAGAGAGAACCTTGAGTGAAACTCATGAGCCTGAGGGAGAAGAGGGAAAGAGAGAGAGGCTGAAACACCACTCTAGCCCTTAGCTCTTGTTTCTTGTGAATCTTTCTGAAAGACAGCTGAGAAATCCGTCTTTAGATACTTCAAGTCCTTGGGGGTTTGTTCCAGGACACCCACAGATTCTCAGCACATTTAAAAATGTGTTGTGTTTGTTTATAACCTGTTCAATTTGGAGTAAACTTTCTTCTTTTTTACTCCCATTTTATTTATTTATTTATTTATTTATTTATTTATTTATTTATTTATTTGAGACTCGGTGACCTAAATTCTTTAATCATCCTAGCTCCACCTCCCATGTGCCTGGTTTACAAGTGTCAGCCACTATGGCTGGCTTTCTTTCTTTCATTTTAATGAGATGATCCTCTCAAGGTAGTCTAATTTCACAAGAGTTTATTGTCCCACCTTGAGATTCTGAAGCAGCTGAACAGGGACAAGTCACCAGGAGTGATTTGCCTCCCTTTTACCAGCAGCCTCTGCTCAGCAATGCCAGCCACACAGTTTCCTGGAGTCTTCTCAGATCCTGCCTGTAATATACAATTGTTCAGAAGAAATTGGTGCCAAGATTTTTCTAAATGGAAACTCCATCTGCCCTTGGAAAGAGTGTCCACATGGACTCAGGGTTTCCATGAGCAACAGCAGTAATATCCAAAATACATGTTTCTTTTGCCAAGTTTCCGTGGGTGGGTGCAAAAGAGACCCAGAGGACCATATCTTTGGCCAGCACCTCACAGAACAGCCCAGGAGGGAGAACCTTGAGGCTGGTTGCCTTGCTTCTTTAACTAGCAGGTGGATCAGTGAGCTCTGTATATTCGTGCATGTATCTGAAATGGAGGATGACTAACAAGCAGGAGGATTTTTGTAACTGAACGAGTTCACAAAAAGAAATGTGGCAGAGTGTGATGGCAAATACTTAGATTATTATAGGATTCAGTCCTCCAAGCAAAGTGGCCTGCTTTCGAAAAACCGTAGGGAGCAGGCCAGTTGGGTCCCCCTAGAGAAGCAGGGAGAGGCAATGGATGCTCCTTTGTGGTACCAACCTCTCCCTCCTGCCCTTTTCAGACAATTGTGTGCAATTCTACCCTGATTGCTTAGGATCTCAGAGATCAGGTGCTAGCCCATAGTCTATGGAGGGAGGTGCTATCCCACACCAGCACTTAGGAGGTGGAGGCAAGAGAATGGGGAGTTCAAGATTATGCTCAAACTGTTAGGTAACTACAGAGGAAGAAAGCTTAAAAATGTGTCTACCCAGTTTCCTCCATTCCACTGTTTGGGGTCTGAATGATGGGGTCATTTCTTCTCTCGGATAGTTTGTCTGTTTTGTTTGTTTGTTTGTTTGTTGAATGAATTTAAACATTGAATTTAAACAATAGGAACCATATCACTTACATAGATGTTTGCTGAAAAATCCAGGTGCTGATTCAGCAGGAGTGACATGGGCTTCCCTTCATGCTGTGGTTCAGTCTGGCCCTGAAGACTCTAAGGAAGCATCCCTGCAAAGGATTCCATTACCACAAAGCTCTCCTGTCCTCCCATCAGCTTCTCCTCTGGCTTCTAGAATAGCTTGTCCACAGAAGCAGTGCTACCCTTCCTCCTAACGTGCTTGGAAACTACTGGAGAAGTGAGAAGAGGGATGGGCTGAGAGCTTGATGCTACTGGGTTTAGTCTTCAATGACTGGACCTCTGGGGAGTTCTCTGGCAGTTGGGCAGATAAGTACCCAACACTTGGGCTCCTAGCCCTGCTGGCTCTCACTCCCATCACCAGGAAGGCCTCCAGGAAATGCTTGTGCAGAAGAATCAGTCTTGTCTTCTAGTTACATCACTACCACCATCACCAGGATGGCAGGGCCTTCCTGAAGCTATTGAGGCAGGACCCACCAGCCACTACTCACCTGGTAGATGGTTCCAGACAGTAGGGATGGCTTTTGTGGGTTTTGTAACCTTAAGATCCTTG